TAACTGCAAAAGCACTTGACGGGGGGGGGGGAAGTGAGACAGGGGGTCAAGGGGGTTGGGGGAGGGGGGGGGGGGGGGGTGATGATGAGTCATGGTGCAGTATCAATGATGGCTTGGCAACCATTATTATCCTTGGTGGCAATCATTGATGACACCATTTCAACCATAATAGTTGATTGTTGACAATGGTTCGGTAACAACAATCCCACCACCTGACTTGCTCCCCTCCCCCCTCCCCACTCCCCCTCTCCTCCCCCAAGTCACGTCGCATGGCACGGGTGGAGCCGAGCTCGTATGCCTCAAGTAGCAGCAATGAGGTGTCTCCGCGTGAGCTGGTGGCCATCGACGAGGAGAGCGGCAAGTCGAGCTTGGTTGCCGGGGCAGAACACATGGCTGACGGCAACGCCGAGAGTTGGGCTGACGAATTGGACGAGAGTGTTCCGAGTCTACAGGCGTTGATGGCCATCGATGCCGAGTCAGGCAGGGTGGCGCTAGTGCAGGATCTGCTTACCTCGAGCTCGCCTGCAGAAGAGTGGCGTCGGCTGGGTCAGGCTATGGGCGCCGAGCGGGCCCGGCGTTCTCGATTCAGGTCACCGAGTCGGTGGCCTGGCTCTGGGGCTGGACAGCGGTCATGCTCTTTGCACCGATCCTGATCATTGCCGCGTGGCTGATGATCCCGACGCCTGTGCTGGAGACTGGCGCACCGTCGGAGCGAGCTGGCGCTACTGGCGAGTATTGGCTCTTTGGCGGAGCCATGCTCGCCATGCTGTACGCTGTGACCGGCGCGACTGCGACCGCGATTATGGGCCTGGCGGTACCAGCGATGCCCAAGGCGCTGGCGGGCGCCTGCATTGTGCTTGCTGCGGTGGTGGCGGCCGGCTTGAGCGCGCTGGTGCGGTCGATGATGACCACGCCACGGTTTGAGCGATGGATCCACGTCTCGCCGCTGGTGGTCATCGGCGTCGTTTCTCTCTTCCACGGGGTCTGGCTGCGTTTCAGCTGGTGGCCGCGCCGGGGCAAGGCTGCGTTTGTAGCAGCACGACTGCGGCCATGCCTGCTTGTGGAGCAGTGGTTCCGAGCCGTGATCATTGTCGCCGCTGCCATGATCGGGATGCCGATCTGGTCGATGACCTTTGTCTCGATCTTCCGCGAGCTGGGCACAAGCCAGACGTGGCAGATCGGGCTTGGTCTTGCGTACAACTTTACCTTTTATCCGCTCTACTGGCTTCTTGTGGGGCAAGCACGGCGGGTTGACGCCTTCTCGCGCGTCTTTGCTCCGCACTTTGGCTGGTCACGGCCGCGACAGATCCGGCCGCTGGCGGTGTGGGCGGCCACGCTCTTCCCGCTCCTCTTCTACCGGATTCTGTTTACGACGGTGACGTCGACGACTACGTTCCTCATCTTCCAGCTAGTCAATACAACCCAAGAGGTAGCGCTCTATCCGCTGCGGATGACGTCGCTGTACCTGCGGCTGCGGCTGCGGCTGCGCGAGTTGCTGCTCTCCTGGAACCGACCCGGAGTCGTCCTGCTCCGGTTCATCAATCGCGGCCTCTTTGTTCCCGCCGAGGTGTACAGGCACAAGACCGGCGTCGAGTACTTTTTCGTGGCGCAGGCGCAGCGGATGTCGCTCATCTCGTTCGGCTGCTTCCTCTTCCTCCTTCACAACACAGGCAACTCGGCGGCGTATCCGTACCAGCGCAACCAAGAGACCTACGACCGGCTTGTCACCTTTGTCTGGATCATGCTGGCCCTCGAGTGGTCAGGCTCGACTCTTGTCTGGGCCATCATGCGGTTCTCGTCCATGGCCCATGACTGTGTCCTCTCGGGCGCGCAATGGACCCTGCGCGGCTCGTCGATGACCACCGCCCTCCTCTACGCCGTCTTTGGCCTCCACAACGTTTACCTATTCCTCCACTCCAAGGACGTGGCCCGTCCTTGAGTGCAACAATACACCATACACGCCGACCAGCCAGTCATCATCGCATGGAGTTTTGCAACCCAGCCAGCCATCATCGTACAAAGCCTCGCAACCAAGCCAGCCATCATCGTACAAAGCCTCGCAACCAAGCCAGCCATCATCGTACAAAGCCTCGCAACCAAGCCAACCATCATCGTACAAAGCCTCGCAACCAAGCCAACCATCATCGTACAAAGCCTCGCAACCAAGCCAGCCATCATCGTCGTCCATGGCCCATGACTGTGTCCTCTCGGGCGCGCAATGGACCCTGCGCGGCTCGTCGATGACCACCGCCCTCCTCTACGCCGTCTTTGGCCTCCACAACGTTTACCTATTCCTCCACTCCAAGGACGTGGCCCGTCCTTGAGTGCAACAATACACCATACACGCCGACCAGCCAGTCATCATCGCATGGAGTTTTGCAACCCAGCCAGCCATCATCGTACAAAGCCTCGCATCCCAGCCAGCCATCATCGTACAAAGCCTCGCAACCAAGCCAGCCATCATCGTACAAAGCCTCGCAACCAAGCCAGCCATCATCGTACAAAGCCTCGCAACCAAGCCAGCCATCATCGTACAAAGCCTCGCAACCAAGCCAGCCATCATCGTACAAAGCCTCGCAACCAAGCCAGTCATCATCGTACAAAGCCTCACAACCAAGCCAGCCATCATCGTACAAAGCCTCGCAACCAAGCCAACCATCATCGTACAAAGCCTCGCAACCAAGCCAGCCATCATCGTACAAAGCCTCGCAACCAAGCCAGCCATCATCGTACAAAGCCTCGCAACCAAGCCAGTCATCATCGTACAAAGCCTCGCAACCAAGCCAGCCATCATCGTACAAAGCCTCGCAACCAAGCCAGCCATCATTGTACAAAGCCTCGCAACCAAGCCAGCCATCATCGTACAAAGCCTCGCAATCAAGCCAGCCATCATCGTACAAAGCCTCGCAACCAAGCCAGCCATCATCGTACAAAGCCTCGCAACCAAGCCAGCCATCATCGTACAAAGCCTCGCAACCAAGCCAACCATCATTGTACAAAGCTTCGCATGGCAACCAACCATTTCCCCCCATCTCACCACCATCACCATCCATCCACCTCCCCCACACCTCACTCACTACCACCTCCACACCAATCCCCCCCCCCCACACACACTCCCACCACCCCACACTCGTATCATGTCTGTGTTTGGTGGCGTCGACATGTTCGGCTCCGAGTCGGACGACGAAGGCTCGCTCCGGGCGCCCATGAAGGTGGCCGATGAGGCAGGCGCTTCGGCTGGTGCAGCTGCTGCCGGCGAGGACGAGAGCAAGGCCGGATCGCGGCCGGTGAAAAAGACCAAGCGGGCACACAAGCTGGACGCGACACTGGCGAAGAAGAGCAGCGTGGTGGCACCGGTCATTCCGGCCAAGAACAAAAAGACAAGCGCGGCGAGCGCGGGTGCAGCCGCAGCCGGCGAGGGCTCGATGGCGGTGACCGAGACAGTGGCAGCCGAGGCCGTCGTCGAGTCGCGGAAGAACATCAAGCACGAGGTGGTGACGCCCGACGACTACACACCGCCGGCGCCGCTGCCGGACGACTACGAGCGGGCGCGCAAGTATCCGTTCACGCTTGATCCGTTCCAGGCCAAGTCGACCGAGTGCATCGACAACGGCGAGTCAGTCCTTGTCGCCGCGCACACCTCTGCCGGTAAGACAGTTGTGGCCGAGTACGCCATCGCAGTCTCGCTTCGGTCCAACTCGCGCGTCATCTACACCTCGCCGATCAAGGCGCTGTCGAACCAGAAGTACCGCGAGCTGCTGGAGGACTTTGGCGACGTCGGGCTCATGACCGGCGACGTGACCATCAACCCGAGCGCGTCGTGCCTGGTGATGACGACCGAGATTCTGCGTTCGATGCTGTACCGCGGATCGGAGATCATGCGTGAGGTGGCGTGGGTCATCTTTGACGAGATCCACTACATGCGCGACGCGTCGCGTGGCGTGGTGTGGGAGGAGACCATCATCCTCCTTCCGGACTCTGTCCGGTTTGTCTTTCTCTCGGCTACCATTCCAACGCCCGCGAGTTTGCGTCGTGGATCTGCAAGCTGCACAAGCAGCCATGCCATGTGGTGTACACCGACTACCGGCCGACGCCGCTGCAGCACTACATCTTCCCTGCGGGTGGGTCGGGTCTGTACCTGGTTGTCGACGAGAAGGGCAACTTCCGCGAGTCGAACTTTAACAAGGCCGTCGCCTCTCTCAGGGCCGACACCAACGACTCGTACGCCGGCTCGGCCAAGGCGCGCGGCGTGAAGCGGAACCGCCGTGGGCCGGGCGCGTCGGACATCTTCAAGATTGTGCAGATGATCATGGACCGCGGCTACGACCCTGTCATTGTCTTCTCCTTCTCCAAGCGCGAGTGCGAGGGCTACGCATCGCAGATGTCCAAGCTCGACTTTAACTCGGAGGATGAGAAGGAGCTCGTCGACGCGGTCTATGCCAACGCCATTGACTCGCTCTCGGAGGAGGACCGCGCGCTCCCGCAGATCACTACTATGCTCCCGCTCCTCCGCCGTGGTATCGGCATCCATCACTCGGGTCTCTTGCCCATTCTCAAAGAAATCATCGAGATCCTGTTCCAGGAGGGCCTGCTCAAGGCGCTCTTTGCCACAGAGACCTTTTCCATCGGCCTCAACATGCCGGCCAAGACGGTGGTCTTCACCGCTGCCCGCAAGTTCGACGGCGTCTCTATGCGGTACGTCCGCTCCGGCGAGTACATTCAGATGTCCGGCCGCGCCGGGCGTCGCGGGCTCGACGACCGTGGTATCGTCATTCTCATGCTCGACGAGAAGCTCGAGACCGACACGACCAAGGAGATGATCAAGGGCGCGCCCGATGAGCTCAACTCAGCTTTCCACGTCTCGTACAACATGCTGCTCAACATGCTCCGTCTGGAGTTTGCCGATCCCGAGTTTATGCTTCTCGCCTCGTTCCACCAGTTCCAGAACGAAAAGTCGCTGCCGCAGCTCGAGGCCCAGCTTGAGGCACTGACGGCGGCCAAGGCTGCCCTTGTTGTTCCCGACGAGGCCAACCACGAGTCGTACTACAACCTGCGCAAGCAGATTACCAAGCTCCGCGCAGGACTCCGCGACATCATCAACGAGCCCAAGTACATTGTGCCGTTCCTCAAGCCTGGCCGCCTCGCCCGCGTCCGCGTCGACAGCGAGACCGACTTTGGCTGGGGCATCATCGTCTCGCACTACACCCGCAAGGCCTCATCCAAGGTCACCGACGACAAGGGCAGCCTTGCTGCCGGCGCCGTCACCTCGCATGTGGTCGACATGATTCTCGGCTGCGACGCCGGCGATGGCACCGCCCCGGCCTTTGCGCTCGCCCCGACGCCGCCGGCGCCGGGCTCCAAGCCGCACCCGCGCATCGTCCCGGTCCTTGTCTCGCTCCTCGACGGCGTCTCCTCGCTCCGGGTCCGTCTCCCAGACTCGCTCTCGTCCGATTCGGACATTGCCGCCACCTTTGGCAAGGTCGGCGAGGCACTCCGTCGCTTCGACGGTGCCATTCCGCTGCTGGACCCGATTGAGAACCTCAACATCAAGTCGAAGGACTTTGTCAAGAAGCTTAAGAAGCTCGAGTCGCTTGCGCTCCGCCTCCACTCACACCCGCTCCTCGCCGGTGCGAGCGCCTCGGGCGGCGGCGACGAGAGCACGGCGGCGACGCCGCTGCCGCCGTCCAAGCTCGTCCAGCTTGCGCTTGCGTCCGACCCGGGTCTCCCGGACTCGTTCCAGATCTTTGAGCAGCGCAAGCGGCTCGAGGAGCAGGCCGAGCTGGTGCGGGCCGGCATCCGCGAGTCGTCCCACCTTGCGCTCAAGGAGGACATGAAGAAGATGCAGCGGGTCCTCCGCCGGCTGGGCCACCTCTCGACCGACAACGTCATCGAGCTCAAGGGCCGGGTGGCGGTGGAGATCAACGCCGGTGACGAGCTTGTCCTCACCGAAATGATGTTCGACGGCCTGTTCTCCACCCTCACCCCCGCCGAGGTCGCCGGCATTCTCTCGTGCTTTGTCTTCCAGGGCAAGTCCAAGGAGCAGGTCAAGATCCAGCCGAACGTGACCAAGGTTCTCAACAAGATGAAGATCATCACCCGCCGCATCGGCCAGGTCAAGATTGACTGCAAGCTTGAAGTCGACCTCGAAGAGTACGTCGAGTCATTCCCGCCCCACGTCCTCCCGGCGGTCATGGCCTGGGCCGACGGTAAGTCGTTCGCCGAGGTCATGAAGCTCACCGACGTCTTTGAGGGCTCCATCATCCGTGCCATGCGCCGCCTCGATGAGCTCCTTCGCCAGCTCGGCGACGCCGCCAAGTCCATCGGTGACGCCGACCTCGAGACCAAGTTTGGCCAGGCCTCTGCCGCCATCAAGCGCGACATTGTCTTTGCCGCCTCGCTCTACCTGTAGCCCGTCAGCCCGACAGCCACCTGCGTCTCCCTCGCCTGCCAAGCAAACGCGCGACCGAAACTACGACCTTTTTTTTGCGCCGAGTCCTTCCACTCGGTGCCAGACAGCGACTCGGCGGGGGCGTCGTCACCCGACTCACACCGCCACCCCACACCCATCCCACCCATCCACACACGAAACATGTGCGGACGGACGTCGATGACCAAGACAGCAGACGCGCTTGAGCGGGCGACCGGGAGGCGGTGGCGGAGTCAGGCGGCAGCAGAGCGGTTGCGGCCGTCGGCGAACGTGGCGCCCGGCACACCGCTGCCTGTGGTGCAGGCCATGCGCGGCGAGGGCTCCGGCGAGGTCATCGACTCGGTGCTCACCACCATGCGGTGGGGCTTTGAGCGGCCCGAGTGGAGCTCGCCGGTCATCAACGTGCGCGCTGAGACCATGCTTGCCCGCCCGCTCTTTGCCAGCCCGCTGGTCTCGGGCCGATGCGTCGTCGCCGTCGAGGGCTTTTACGAGTGGGATGCGACCAAGAACCCGCACTACATCTCGCTCTCCGATCACGGCGTCATGTACATGGCTGCGCTCTACGAGGCCATACCCGGTCCGGACGGGGCGCTTTCCTACGCCGTCGCCGTTGTCACCGTCGCCGCAGCAGAAGACATCTCCTGGCTCCACGATCGCATGCCCGCCCTGCTCACCTCGGAACACGATCGCCAGTCGTGGCTCAACCCGGCTGTTCCACCAGAGACCGCCGCCTCGCTCTGCGCGCCAGTGGAGGGTCTCCGAACCCGCCCCGTCTCACGGGCCGTCAACTTTCTCCGCTTCAAGTCGGCCGCAGACTGCCACGCCCCGCCGGATCCGGCCGTCGTTTACTCGTCGGCCGGCAAGCAGAGAGTCAACGTGGTCACCGAGTACTTTGCGCAACGCGGAGCGCCCACTCGCGCCGCCCAGCGTCCTCGCGCCCATGCGGAGTCGTCGGCTTTGTCATCGCCATCATCATCGCAGCCTCGTCCGCCCCTGCGCTCGACCGACTCGAGCTCGCCTGGCAAGACAGCTGCGCGGGCTGCGCGCTCGGCGCGCGCCACCCAGGCGGTGGTCTCGGCCTGGTCGGCCTCGAGGTCGTCGCTCCTTCCATCGTTCCTTCCGCTTGCGCTTCAGGTCGGAACTCTTGTCCCGCCGTCGCAACGGCGGCTGGACGACCTTTGGACACCGTCGTCCGGCGAGGCCCGGTCGTCGGCGTCTGCCACGCTACCCACGCCCGACACGCCGCCGAGCCAGACTTGCTCGCCGGTTGTAGACCTTACTTGAAGCCACAGACTTGCCAGCGGAGGCGCGCGTGTGGCGATCGGACGACGACGCGTGGGACAGGCGGTGTGCCGGGCGGTCCAAGGTGGACACTAGCGCTCGCCACCACGACCCCGTCGACAACGCCAAAGACCAGGCCGGTCGCGACGTTGACGCCGAGGCCGACCGTGCTTCCTGGGCTGGCGATGACCGGCGTCGACCGCCGGTAGCCAAACCGGGCCTGCGAAGTCACGCTGCCGGCCTCGACCACCAGCGAGTCGTCCCAGGTCCACGTCACCCGTACGTCCTCGGTCGTCCAGGAGAGGCCCGCATGGGCATCGCCAGCGCTCCGCTCGGTCCCGTCTGCAACATCGCTCACCAGCGTGGCTTCGAGGTAGTAGGCATCAGCGAGCTCGGAAGCCTGCGGCATGGTGTCGACGGCTCGGATCGCGTCGGTCCGCGGTTGGAGACCAGGCTGGAGCCGGCTGCCAAGCGCTGCCGCAGGGATGGGCGGAGGGTAGGCAAAACCAGCAGCCGAATCGCCAAAGTTGAACCGGACGCCCTCACCCATCCGCAGCGAGACGGCCGGTGCGTACGGCCGGCGCAGCAGCGGCAGACGCTCAAACGCCTCTCCGAGGTACTCGCCGTTGAGCGAGAAGCCGGCCCAGCGCTCGTCGAGATCAAGGACGACGCCGACGATATCGCCGACGCGAGCCTGTCGCCCGTACGCTCCCGGCCGCGCACCGCCGAGCATGCGCGCGCCCCAGGTGCCGAACCCAAACGAGAGCTCGTTGACGTCCTGACCGATACCCTCGTCGATACCAAGCGTGGCTGACGTCGAGATCCAGCCGATGTGCACACTGGCTTCTGCAGACTCGTCGCCGGTCAGTAGCTCCACCTCGTAGTACCACCGGCCCGAAGTCACAGCCCGGCTTCCGCGGCATGTCTGCAGCGTCATCATTCCGGGATTAACCGCGGTCAGCCCGTCGGCGAAGACACACATCGATGCAGTCAGTGGTACGACGGTGTCGGGGCGGCTCCGCCGCGGGCTCTCGGCGCGGGCTGCGAGCGCCACAACCACAGCAGGCTCGACGACGGCCATGAGCGCGAGCCGGATGCTCCCGCCAATGTTTCCAAACCTCAGCGCACGAGTGACGGCGGCGACCGCGCCATGGACTTGGTCTGCATGAGCGACTCTGACACTCGGTGCGCCGACGCCGATCAGCCAGGTCAGAAGGCCGGCAGTGGTGTCGTGAGAAAGTCCAGACGCTGCGCGCTCGGCAAGGAGCGGGTCGTCAGCAACGTCGTGCCCGTCACGGATAGCTTCCGCCATGCCGAGGCAGACTGTGCAGAGCAGGGTTTGGACGTTGACTGCCAACAGCGACGAGTGGCCAAAAGCCCAGGAGGCCCGAACAAGCGCCCGCCGCATGTCACCGGTCTCGGCCGAGGTGCAGATGATGCGGCGGAGACGAGGAAAGAATGCGAGCGCGAGGAGCTGTGCGACGGCAAGCGAGTTGGCGCTGGCGACGGCGTCGTCGCTGCTGGACGGTTCGGTGAGGTTAGCAGCAAGCGACCGGGCTGTCGGCCCGATGACATGTGCGGCAAGCAAGGGGTGCGACTCGTTGTCGTTGCCGAGGCAGAGCCGCCCCAGTAGCTTGAGGCCCGCTGGCACGTTGAGGTTGCCGACCGCAAGGAGCAGCGCAGGGAGGTCTGCGGCGGTCATAGCGTCGGCGAGGCACTTCCACCTCGAGAGCACGTCAAGCACCAGGTAGCCATGGCTGAGAATGAGGCCGGAGCGTGACTTGTTCAGCGGAAGCAGGTCTTGAGGACTTGCCACCGTCCGGTGGGTGGCGCGAAGCAGATCGATGACGGCCGGGACCACGCCTGCCGACTCGACGGCGGCAACTGCGCGGGCGCCCGGAGCGCCCGCAAGCGGAGCAAGCAAGCCAGGAAGTAGCGCGAGGACAGCGTGCGGCGCCGCCCGTGGACTCCGCTCCGCAGCCTCGCCGCGGCGGAGAAGTGCAATGACAGCCGGGAGGAGTGATGACTCGAGCGCAGCCTGGGCAAAGAGCCGGCCCGAGGCTGTGCCAGAGGCCACAAACTCGAGCGCAGCCTCACGGGCCTCTGGCGTCGAGAACGGCTCGTCTGGATCCAGCACCCGGGCCAGCGCCTCCAGCAGCAGCGAGCAGTGGCCAAGACGGTCGGCAAAAGTAGCGGCCGCGTCGGTGGCATTGACGCTGCCTGACTCTTCGAGTGGAGGCGGGGCGTCACTCGAGGGCCCCGCGCGACCGGACGAACTGCGCGGAGTGAGGCGGAGTGGACGCCGCGGAAGACCGGCCGTCACTCGCCGCTCATTCAGCACGCTCGCGATGGCGCCGAGTACTTCATGAGCAACGTCGGTGGCCTCCGGATCAAAGACCTCGTCTGGGAGGGGCGAGAGCTCGATGAGCAGCGCCAGGGTCCACCGCACAAAGGCTTGGCCGCGGAGACCCTGGGGATTGGCAGACACATCCAGCAGTGGGAGGAGCAAGTCGAAGACCTGCCGCCCAAGATTGGCAGCAACGGCGGCGCGGTCGATGCGCGCAGCAGAAACAACGACTTTGAGCAGCTGGTCAATCATTTCTGACACGGTCGACGTAAATACTGGACGGAGTCGGTTGAGCATGGACGGAAGAAAGCCGGCCACGAGCTGCGCGCCATCAGCCGACGCACTGAGCTTGGCGAGGCACTGCAGCGCAGTTGCCGGCAACCTGCCCTGGTCATGGGATGCCGAAAGCGCAGTGTAGAGAGCAGCCATGACCACTTCCATGTCGTCGCCAAGTCGCCGTGCGGTTTCGTTCAAGCCGGCGACTGCGGCAAAGACAACCAGTACCAGCTGGTGGACCTGGTTGGTCGGGTCAAAGTCATCCATCTCTGGCACCAGCACATCCTCGACGAGCCGCAGCTGGACGAGACACTCGGCGCAATTCGGAACCGTCTGGATGAGGGTGCAGACAAGAACTATGACGTAGGCGTGGAGCGGGGCGTTGTGGACAAGTGCGTGCATGACAACGTCGAGGACCGCAAGGTCACTGCCGAGCATTTCGGTGATCTTGGGCAGCTTGGGCAGGTACGTGTGCAGCGCCTCAATGGCGCGCATGTACGAGCTCGGCTGGATGCAGTAGTAGACAAGAACTCGCATGGCAGCGATGCGGTCGTCAACAAGGTCCGAGAGTAGGAGCTCGTCAATTAGCGCCACGTCCTCGGGACCAAAGGTGGGCGCAGCGCCAGGATGGGCAGCACGTCCCGAGCTTCTTCCCCCGGCGCCATCTCCAGCGCCATCGCCGTCATCGCCGTCGGTCTCATCTTCAACGTCGAGTGCCTCACGCGTGCCGACGTCGTCACCGGGCGGCTCCTGCCCCCGGGCGTGATAGACCCAGTCCGGAAGGACAGGAGCCGGTGCAAGCCACGGCATGTCATCCGGCTCGCTACGGCGACGACGACGAGCACTTGAAGACATTCCCGAGCGAGACCGTCGCCCACGACCGCCCGACTCTCCACCCTGACTCCGGCCATTCCGCCGTCTTGTCAGCAGTGACGATGATGATGATGAGAATGACGATGCCGTGTCGCGTCCTCGGCTCCGGGCAAGGCGGGCATGCGGAGCGGTGGAGAACCAGTTGCGTAGAAAGAGGTCGGCAAAGGTGAGGTTGAGGACACTGACGGTAGTATAGAAGACCATCCGTGGTACAACTCTTCGCCACCCGCTCATCTGTTTGCGTGGTGCCACGTAGAGTGGGGTGGGAGGTGGGTGGGAGGGGAGGGGGGGGGGGGGGGGGCCAGGCGCCTGTGATCAGGGCTGGAAGGACACAAGGGCTGCCTGGGCCGGTGTATCGCAGGGGAGACTGATCGGCTGGATGATGGAGGTGATGACGGGGAGGGGGGGGGGGGGGGGGGGAGGTGTATGGTATACGTTGATACATGCTATGTGGTGTGTGGTTTGGACCAGTCTTTGTCATGATCAGAGCATGGCTTCCAGCATGGCTTCTAGCATGACGGCCACACTGTTTCCTGCCGGCGGACAGCTGCCAACTGGCCAGTGACCAAAGGCGAGGACGAGGAGAGCAAGAGCAACTCGACCGAGGCCACCTCCCCACTCCACCACCGAAGACACATCCAGTGGTCAGGGGGAGGGGCAAGAGGGGGGTGGAGGCAAGGCGTAGACAGGACAAGCGCGTACAGACGAGAGCTGGAGCCATGTCCAGACGGACAAGACAACGGAGCAGCAGCGACGAACAGTGCCCAGCCGAGGCGACTCTGACAACGACGACGGTGACCGCACCCGCACCCGCCGCTGTCACTGCTGGCACCAGTACCGGTGCTTCAGCAAGTGGACTGACTGCGACTGGTTCTGTGGGGAGCACTGTGGTGAGTGGAGGCGGCAGTGTTGGCGAGGTGGGAATGATGGCTGCAGCGGAATCGGGTGGTGGGATAACAGGTGGCGGAGGTGGTAGGCAAGATGCAGGGCGGTATGGCGATGGTGGAGGACACGGTGGACGGGCAAGTACGCGAAGGACGCAAGTTGCGCCGCTGTTTACAACCACGGCTGGTGCAGGAGGTGCGGGGAGTGTAGGGAGTGCCGCTGGCGGCGGACGATCAGGACGGCGGAGCGGAAAGGAGAGCCCTGACGACGGCACTGTTGCCTCGTCGTCGCGGCCGACCTCGTTCCGGTCGCTGACCATGGGGCGGAGCGGGTTCCCTGGTGCAGCGCTGCCAGACGTGCTGCCGTTTGATGCCGTCTACTCCAAGTACACCAACTACCACGCCGGCGCGCCGCCGCACGAGCCGGCGTCGTCGTACTCGGACGAGGACTTTGACGATCTCGCTCAGGTGATGTCTGAGGACTCGTCGTCTGACTTTGGCAGCAGCTTGATGCACCCGACGCAGCAGTCCGGTGATGACGTACCGTCGGTGATAGTGAGCGGCTGTGGGCCGTCGCTGCGCCGCCGTCGTGAGGCCTACGTCGACGAGGCACGGCCGGTACTGCAGGTGACGTACGTAACACCGCGCGTGGTGGCGCCGTTTGCGCTCTCGCGGCCGCCGCTGTCGTGGAAGGCATGGGCAACACTCCACGCGCTGCTCCTTGCGCTAGCTGTCGCTCTCGCCAGCAACATGGCGGTGAGCGGTGTGCTTGGGTATATCTACCGCGACGCGAGTTGTGACAAGCCGCTGGCGTGGTGGCTGCGCATCTACGCCTATGCCACTGGCGGCGCCTTTTTTGTCACCTGTAGCGTCATAGTCGGCCTCTCGATCGCCGACAAGCGTGGCTGGCTCCAGCTGCCGGCGACGAGGTCCGACGTCGGCATCGCGGCGCTCATGGGGGCTGTGTCGCTCGTGGCTGGGAGCTGGGGTGCTTACGTACTCATTGTTGTGCTTGCCACGTCGCACTGCAGCAACACAGCCGAACTGCTCTACACCACGACGCTCATCGGTTCTATTGTGGCCATCGCTGAGGCGCTCCTCGGCCTCGCTACTGCACTGTTCTGCGTGTGGAAGATGTGGCGGCCACTTGCCCTCACCCCCTACGTCCCGATCGGCGGACAGTCATGAGGTACAGACGAATAGCAGACGTTGTAAAGGCCGTTTGACTCCGGAGGCACACATACCACTGCCGATGGCCGGCACCAGCAAGAGTGGTGGGCGGCGGGGCGAATGGCCACTCGTCTTGGTCCATGTCGTCCGACTACAATTTCAGCTTTGTGGGCGCGAGCGTGGCCAAGGCTACCGACGAGGGCCAGGAGCCAAGCGAGAGCAAGGCCTCTGACGCGGTGACTCTCGAGGAAGTAACCAATGGAGAGAGCTCCGCCGAGCCTCTGTCTCTGCCACCAACGCCGAACGGGAAGCCGATGTCGAGGCCGGTGACCACCAGCCGAGTGCGGGTGCCGACTCGGAGGCTCTTCTGGCCGAGGGTTGTGGCAAGGACGGAAACGAAGACGGCTTGTGCGGAGAAGGCACCGAGGGAGAAGATGACATTCCTGCTGAAGCTTGTGGGTACGTGGTGGCCATGTACATCTGGTCTGTGTCTGCTCGTCATGGCCCCGGAAGCGCCTACTATGTCCCCCTCCCCCCCCACCTCCCCCCCCGTCGCCATTGTCCGACTTGATCCACTCGTTTGGAAGTCGCGAGTGGCGGGCGGTGGCGGGCAGAGCAAGGCGCACTCGGGGCCGAGACTGGCGCATGGGTGGAGATGCGGAATTGAGAACGGGTGTGGAGATGGAGCGATGGGAGATGGGCGTGGGCGAGGAGTTGGGTTGGTGGAGAATGGAGGGGATGAGTGTGTTCAACCCGTGTCTTAGACCCGCCTGTCGGATTTGTGGCTGTCGGACAAGCAGCACGGGGAGATCTTGCACCTCGCGGCGCCACGCTGTGCGGCAACGAGGTTGCAGAAGTAGTTGAGCTGTAGAAGGCCGGTTGTGAGGATATGTGTGTGAGCTTGGGTGGAAGGAGGAGGGACTGACGTGACTCTCTGCGTACAGATATTGCGGAATCCACAACCCGGACACGCTCGTCGAGTGCAACCGGTGCAACAAGTGGTTCTGCAACGGGCGGACGGGATCTGCATCGCATATTGTGTCCCACCTTGTTCGATCGCGGCATAAGGAGGTGACGCTGCATCCCAAGTCGTCGCTGGGCGCCAGTGTGCTGCAATGCTGCAGCTGCAAGTCGAGCAACGTGTTTACACTCGGGTGGCTGGTGGCGGTGGACGACGACGTGGTGATGCTGATGTGCCGGGCGTGCTCGCAGAATCCCGAGACAGAGCGCGACACCTCGTCGTGGTCGTCGATCATTGCCGACAAGGTGCTGGTTTCGTGGCTGGTGGGTACGCCGTCGCGGGACGAGTGGCTCCGGGCGCGGCGGCTGGCTACGCAGGACATCATCCGGCTGGAGGAGTACTGGCAGTCGCATCCGGAGGGCACACTGGCGGATCTGACGTCCGAGGCTGTGACCGGCGAGCTCGCGCCGGTCTCGCTGCGGTACCAGGACGCGTATGCGTACAAGGCCACGTTTTTGGCGCTCATTGCGATGGAGGCTGACCACGACCGCAAGCTCAAGGAGTCGCAGTCTGAGATTGTGCAGGCGCGGTTCGAGTTTGGGCTCAACAAGAAGCGGGTGGCGGTCTTCACGCTCGCCACGTCGGAGCTCGAGGTGCGGGTGGTGCCGGGCGACGAGCTCAAGCTCTCGACAGTGGGCGGTGAGTGGAACGACAAGGGCACGGTGGTCCGGCTCTCGTCCGCGGAGGAGGTTGTGCTTGAGCTGGCGTCGGCCAAGTCACCGCCGGCGGGCGAGACTAGGTTCAAGCTCGAGTTTATCTTCAAGTCGACGCCGTTCATGAGGATGAAGACGGCGCTGAGTGCGTTTGCCACCGACGAGGCGTCTGTGGCGGGCGTCATCTACCACCGGCTCCTTGGGCACGATGTGAAGACGATGGCGCTTGCGGCAGTGCTGCCAGACGACCTCTCTGCGCCGGGCCTCCCGCCGCTCAACGAGTCGCAGGTTGCGGCGGTGCGGTCTGCACTGACGGCGCCGCTCTCACTCATCCAAGGCCCGCCCGGGACCGGCAAGACTGTGACGTCGGCGACGCTTGTGTACCACCTTGTGCGCTCGGCGCCATCGAGCGGGCACGACCAGGTTCTTGTGACGGCGCCATCGAACGTGGCGGTGGACCAGCTGGCGGAGAAGATCCACGCGACCGGCCTGCGTGTGGTGCGGCTGACGGCGTTCTCGCGCGAGTCTGTGGACACGCCAGTCGACTTTCTCACGCTCCACTACCAGGTCAACCACCTTCAGACGCCGAACAAGTCGCAGCTGGCCAAGCTTGCGGCACTCAAGGAGCGAGTCGGGTCGCTTTCGCAGGGCGACGAGAAGAAGCTGCGGTCGCTGACGTTGGCTGCCGAGCGCGAGGTTCTTGACGCCGCTGACGTCATCTGCTGCACCTGCATCGGCGCTGGTGACCCGCGGCTCATGCGGCGGCGGTTCCAGCGAGTGCTCATCGATGAGGTCTCGCAGGCGACCGAGCCCGAGTGCCTGGTCCCGATTGTCAAGGGCGCGCGGCAGGTCATTCTTGTGGGCGACCAGCACCAGCTAGGCCCGGTCATCAAGTCTGCGCCAGCGTCGAATGCCGGGCTCTCGGTCTCGCTCTTCCAGCGGCTGGTGTGTCTCGGCCATCGGCCGGTGCGGCTGCAGACGCAGTACCGGATGCATCCGTCGATCTCGGCCTTTCCGTCGAACACCTTTTACGAGGGCACGCTTCTCAACTCGTACCAACCGGCCGAGAACGCGCTGGCGTCTGCGGCCGAGTTCCCGTGGGTCGATGCCAAGCGGCCGACGTTCTTCCTCCACACCGCGTCGCGCGAGGAGCTCTCGGCCTCGGGCTCGTCGTACCTCAATACGACCGAGGCGCAGGCTGTAGAGGAGATTGTGACCTCGCTGTTCCGGACGGGCGTCTCGCCAGGGCAAGTCGGCGTCATCACGGCGTACGCCGGGCAGCGGGCGTACCTGCTCTCGTACCTGCAGCGGAATGGCGAGCTCCGGCCGGAGCTGTACGCCGATGTCGAGGTTGCGTCTGTCGACGAGTTCCAGGGCCGCGAGAAGGACTACATTGTGCTCTCGTGCGTGCGGTCAAACCAGTACCAGGGCATCGGGTTCCTCTCGAACCCGCGGCGGCTGAACGTGGCGCTGACGCGGGCAAAGCACGGGCTCATCATTGTCGGCAATGCCAAGACGCTCGCGCGCGACCAGCTCTGGCACGACCTCATCTCACACTACAAGGACAACGAGCTCCTTGTCGAGGGCGCGCTGTACAATCTGCGGCTGGCGTCGTTCCGACTCCCGCGCCCACGCAAGGCCAAGCGCTCGACGGCGTTCACCTTTGACACGGCCTCGGCCGAGGCCGGGAGCGAGAGTGAGGAGCGGAGCGTCCGCGGCGCCGACGGCAGCACGCCCAGGCCGGGCCAGGCGACGCAGCACTCGTCTGCGACGGCGGTGTTCTCGGCACTGCTCGCGCCGACCGACTTTGCGTCGTCGGGCAGCGGGCAGAGCGGGAGCGGAGTCTCGGCTCCGCCGCCATCGCTCTTCCCCGAGCTTGCGGCGCCGGCGCGGGCAGCAGAGCTTCCGGGCGCGGGCGTGTCGCTCGGGCCCAATGTTGGAGCAAGCGGGCCGTTTGGCAGCGGTGTCTTTGCGCCGCCGCCGGGCACGCCTTGGGCCAGCTCGGACGGAGCGGGGCTCTCGCCGTACGCCAACAGTGGACCGAGTCTCCACTACTACAACAACCCGTACATTTCGACGGGAATGGGCGAGTACGGCGGCGGCGGCGGCGGCTCTGCGTTTGCGGTGTCGAACCCGTACATGGCGGCGTTTGACCCGCTGGGATCGAACGGGGGGGCGTCGCCGGCAGCGGCGGCGCACCAGGCGCAAATGCAGGCGATGCAGATGCAGGCGATGCAGATGCAGGCGCAGCAGCGGCAGCAGTATCTGCTTGCGCAGCAGGCGCAGGCGGCGGCGGCGGCCGGCGGCGGCGTGCAGGGCCCGTGACGAGGTGTGTGTTACTGGTGAGGCGGGCCGTGCGGCGGCGGAGCGCCCGCGCCTGGAGGAAAGTACGACGGGTACGGCTGGTGGCTCGGGTGCTGCGGGTGGTACGCGCCCGGGTACGGCTGGGGCGCCTGCGTCGGCGGTGGTGACGGATGCGGCGGGGCGTAGTACGCGCCGGCCTGGGCCTGGGCCTGGGCCTGGGCCATCATCAGCTGGTACTGGGCCGGGTTCATCTCGCCCGAGCCCTGCGAGCGGAAGGAGCCCTCGCCCGGCGCGCCGGGCCACTTGGGGTCAACGCCTGCCGGTGGCGGGTAGGCCTGGCTGGCGAGCGCGTCGCCGTAGAGGTGGCCTATGGGCGCCGCAAGCGGGGCGGGGTGGCCCATCTGCGGCATGTAGCCTGGCATGCCCATGGGACGCGGGTTTTGGGCCGGTGGCGGTGGCTTGGGCTTGGGCGTCCATGCCGGCGCCGACGGATTGAGCGTAAACTCCTTTGCGTTTGGGTTGAGCTTGGACTTGATCTTAGGCTTGGGGCTTGCTTTGGGCTCGGCCTTGGCCTCGGCCTTGGGCTTGGTCTTGGGCTCAGCCTTGGGCTCAGCCTCGGGCTCAGCCTTGGGCTTGGTTGCGGCGGAAGCTGCAGCGGCGGCGTAGGACGGGCCACGGCGAGCGGGTGGGACGTAGGCGCCGCCAGAGTGCGGGAGCGGTGGGTCGGTCTGGCTGGCATGCTTGCCCTTGCTCTTGGGCTTGGCGTTGGCGTTGGCGTTGGCGTTGGCGTTGGCGTTGGCGTTGGCATGGGGGCTGGACTTGGGGTTACCCTTGCCCTTTCCCTTGGCCTTGCCCTTGGACTTGCCCTTGCCCTTTGGGGTGTCACGAATGACAGCCGAAAAGCGGTCTTCTTCGTCGACAGCATCGTCGCCGGCAAACTCGTACGATTCAGACTTGTCGGTCTTGTAGTACTTGCGGTGCTCCTCGCGGACGGCGCGGATGCGTGCATCCGAGGTGTCGAGCTTTGTTGTGTACTTTTCCTCTGAAAAGTCGGTCTTGACGCCAAACTTGGCCTCGTTGACCTTAAACTGATCCCACCCCAAGGCGAGTCATTATAGCCTCGGCCTTGGGCTTGGTCTTGGGCTCAGCCTTGGGCTCAGCCTCGGGCTCAGCCTTGGGCTTGGTTGCGGCGGAAGCTGCAGCGGCGGCGTAGGACGGGCCACGGCGAGCGGGTGGGACGTAGGCGCCGCCAGAGTGCGGGAGCGGTGGGTCGGTCTGGCTGGCACGCTTGCCCTTGCTCTTGGGCTTGGAGTTGGCGTTGGCGTTGGCGTTGGCGTTGGCGTTGGCGTTGGCGTTGGCATGGGGGCTGGACTTGGGGTTACCCTTGCCCTTTCCCTTGGCCTTGCCCTTGGACTTGCCCTTGCCCTTTGGGGTGTCACGAATGACAGCCGAAAAGCGGTCTTCTTCGTCGACAGCATCGTCGCCGGCAAACTCGTACGATTCAGACTTGTCGGTCTTGTAGTACTTGCGGTGCTCCTCGCGGACGGCGCGGATGCGTGCATCCGAGGTGTCGAGCTTTGTTGTGTACTTTTCCTCTGAAAAGTCGGTCTTGACGCCAAACTTGGCCTCGTTGACCTTAAACTGATCCCACTTTGTCGACCCGCTGTGGTCGTCGAGCGAGAGAAGGGCCGAGTCGGTCTCGTCGCCGCCAGCCACGTCCCACTTGACGAGCTCGCGCTCGCCGCCTGCGCGGCCGGCCTTGCCCGCGATAGCGCCATCGGTAGAAAAGACGTCACGGGCATAGGTGCCCGAGCCCGGGATGTCCTCCAGGAACTGGGCGTCGTCGGCCACGATCGAGAGCACGTCCTGCGGGCGGAAGAGGACCATGCGGAGCGGCCGGGCCGAGGCATCGACCGGCTCCTTGCGGGCCATGCGGAGAACGATGCCGAGGCCGCCGCCAGCCGACGCGCCCGCCGCCGCCGTAGCAGCGCCATCTGCAGCAGCTACACGACTCGATCCGTCCATAGGCTCGGCAGCATGCAGCCTTCCCACATACGTGCTCCCAGTGGTGACGGTGATCCGGACGGTCTGTCCCACAAGGTTCAGCAGGACGTACGCCAGGCGCGACGCCGGTGTGCCCAGTCCCGGTCTGGTAAAGGTGGTGAGTGCGGGAGGAGGAGATACGGGGTTGGGGGGTAGCGGTGGGATGTGCGTACTGGACAGGCATGGGGTGGGGAGAGGGGTGGTGCTATGAGGGGTGGGGGGGGGGGGGGGGGGGGGGGGGGTGGACCGGGAGGCGACGTTGGTGGGTTGCACAAGTAGAGTC